CGTCAACGGCTGGGCCACTTTCGAGAATACCTCGATAAAACGCCGATAATATCCTGCCAGTCCCAGAAAACTGCGAATGTCACTAGCATTCTTCGGTGTCTCCCATTTACTAATGGCCTCAATCTTCCCTGGGTCTACCTCGATTCCACGGGCCGTGACAATGTGGCCTAAGAAAGCCACCCTATCCAGCCAAAACTCACACTTCGAGAATTTCGCGTAGAGCTTTTCCCGACGAAGAGTTTCTAGCACTATCCTCAATTGTTCTTTATGCTCCTCGATGTACCGGGAATATATCAAGATGTCGTCAATGAAGACGATAACGAAGTGGTCCAGGTACGGGTGGAAAACACGGTTCATCAAGTCCATAAAGACCGCAGGGGCATTATTCAACCCGAACGGCATTACCACAAACTCGTAATGGCCATACCTAGTCCGAAAGGCAGTCTTCGAGACATCGGACTCTTTGATCTTCAGCTGATGATAACCAGACCGCAGATCGATCTTGGAGAAGACACTGGCTCCTCTCAACTGGTCAAAGAGATCCTCGATTCTCGGCAAGGGATACTTGTTCTTGACCGTCAAATTGTTCAGCTCATGATAATTGATGCACATCCGCATCGAACCATCCTTATTCTTTACGAAAAGCACGGGCGCTCCCCAGGGTGAAACACTCGGTCGGATAAAACCAAGGTTCAGCAGCTCCTGGATTTGCGTCTTGAGTTCTTGCAACTCCTTCAGTGCCATTCGGTAAGGGGCCTTCGAGACAGGTCCGGCTCCAGGTAGCAAGTCGATGGTGAATTCAACTTGCCGGTTAGGTGGTCCACCTGGCAATTGGTCGGGGAAAACATCGGGGTACTCACATACGATTGACACATCCCCTGGTGATGCCCTCTTCTCTTCCCCTTCTCCGATCATGCTCACTAAGTAGCCTTGGCAGCTACCCTTCGATATTTCTTTCATGGCCTTCAGGGAAGAAATGACTTTTGGTACAGTCCTCGACTTGGCGCCGTAAAACACGATCGACTCTCCATTGGTTGGGTGAAGTGTGACCTCCTTCTCCAAGCATCGGATGTCGGCACGGTAATGAGTGAGCCAATCCATGCCGAGAATCACATCGAAGTCCCGCATCTCAATAATATAAGTGTTGACCTCCAAGTTCCTGCCACCGATATTAACTTGCAAACCTCGAACCATTGAATCAGTAGCAATCGTCTTTCCCGAGGCTAGGCTAACCTCGAGAGCGTCGACCTTACTGACATCCCTAATTCCTAAGGCCTCCAAACAACTTGATGAAATGAAAGAATGCGTGGCACCAGTATCACATAGGGCAAATACAGGCATGTTGGAAATAGAAAGCATGCCAGACATGGTACCTGTGTTGTTGGCGGCCTCGTCATTGGTGAGAGCGTAAACTCGGGCCTGGGCCATGGGTCGCTGCTGGTTCTGTTGCTGATGCTGCGGTGGCTGCTGGTACTGAAGTTGCTGCTGGTGCGGTCCTGGATTCTCCCTCTTTGGCTCAGGGCACTTGTGAGCAAAGTGTCCGAGACGATGACAGTTATAGCATGTCTTTTGGGCAGCGAAACACTCTCCTGCTGCATGGAATCTACCGCATGATCCACATCTCGGCTGTCCTCCTGGAACCTGCTGAATTTGCTGAGCTCTCACTGACTTCTTGCCGGTATCTGGGCGCTTAGACTTTTTATGGCCCGAGTGATGGTCATTCCTCCTCTTGTGCGAGCCAGAGAAGGGCTGGGCAGAGATAGCTGGCTGGGTGATGATAGCAGTCTGAGGAGGCTGGGAATGGTAGTTGGAAGGGACGGTGACAACCGGGGTCATGCAACTCTCAATCTGTTGAGCACGGATGACGGTGTCTGCAAAAGGGAGATCCCCATGACTCGCCACCAAAACACGGATATCCTGGCGAAGCCCGTCTCGAAACTTACGAGCCTTTCTCTCCTCAGTGTCAACCATATGCCGGGCAAAGGCACTCAAACGGGTGAAGGCCCGAGAATACTCATCGACTGTAGAGGCATCCTGCTTAAGATCATAGAACTCTCGCTCCTTCTGGTCACGATAGCTCTTGGGAAAGTACTTGTCCGTGACAATCTCCTTCATCCTTACCCAAGTGAGGGCAGTCCGCTCAGCTTCTGGCCTCAAAACCCAATAGTCAGTCTACCAATCAGCAGCATCACCCTCCATCTGGTATTCGGCACACTCAATGCGCTGGGCATCCGAGCATCGGAGAACGGTGAAGATCCTTTCTAGCTTACGGAGCCACTCCGTTAAAGCTGCTGGACCCTCCACTCCCGAAAAGGTTGGGGGACGCATGTTCTGAAACCGTTCAATCGTGCGGCCATGATCTTCACCCTGAGTGGGTGGAGCCTGCTGAGCATGTGGATCTCTACGAGGACCCATATCTATAAGACAAGTTGGAACTTAGCACAAACTCAACCACTAAAGTTCAAATTAATCAAATGAAAGGTGGATAAATTCCTAAGCCCCAAATAAATATTTAAATAAAATGAACAACACTCATACCTTGAGCTGGCGTGGCTGGACGAAGCGAGGGGTCATAACATAAATACATAAACAACTTGAGAAGCAGTCTACAGAAACGTAAACTTGCTCTGATACCATACTGTAACGCCCCGTTATTTTTAAGTGAAAAATACCAATTTATTTTTCCAAAGTCAATATCAGAGTTAATTTTTCAAAAATCAATTTAAAGATTTATATAACGAGCGCTACTCGAAAATTCACATAACCACAGTTAAGATCACACTTAACTAAATGGGGAAAAAACCATCTAGATCAGAATTCGTCTCATGTCTACAATCAATCATGCTCTAACAGATATTCAGCCATATAAAATAATTCAATAGTCATAACATAATAAAATTCCAAGTTCAAATCCCAAACACGGTAAAATCTCCAAAAACAAAATAATCATGCTGACAAGAGAATAGATATTAGATAAAAGCGGAAGCAGGTAAAACAGTTCAATAGCACATAATGACCCTGCCTCGCTCGTCTTATTGCCACGGCCACCAGCTGAACCTGAAAAGAGATATAATAGTGGGGGTGAGCGAACACTTGCTCACCGTGGGGATACCATGCAGTATAATCAATATAAAGACTTAAAATCATAATCGCAGCATGTAAGCGAATCGACTAGTCTACCCTCCCTAAACACAGCCACGCTCATGTGATCACACCTAACCTATCAATCTCGAAAAAAGATAGGAAATAAGTCGTCCCCACGAAAAAGACGGGAGCCGTCGATACGAAAAAGATGGGAACAAGACTACCGGTTCACATGCATACATAGATTATCAAGCCAAGCATTTATATAAATTAACATACATGGTAAGGTTTATCAACACCCACCTGGTAGATGAGGTAGACAAAGCACACAAGAAGAAGAACGTAGGTCGAGGGCTCGAATCCTTACACACCTACATTTAAGTGAGATAATATATCAATATTCTATCTCACTACTTGGATTTTATTATTATTATCATTATTATTATTATTATTATTATTATTATTATTATTATTATTATTATTATTATTATTATTATTATTATTATTGAGAATCAATACTCCTACAGCATGACACAAAATTTACACAATTATACAGCAAATAAAATGTATATTAGCGCTCTACACAAGATCATCCTACACATCCTGACTTATTTGAAAAACTCTAGGCAAACACAACTATTTCATTTAAGTCCCAGGCAAACATATTGAGCTAATTTCGCGTTAGCAAATTGATTTCTCTATTATAATAGATAATTAAATATTTAAAAGGAAAACTTAAAACTTTCAATGGATTTGAAATCTGTGCAACCCCATTTCTCATCCGACCATAATATTTTTCAACGAACCAAATTCTAAACCAAGGTATTATATAATATATGTGGTGGGGTAAAGATACTTGGAATTCAAACACAACTTGACTACTTTAGTTAATAAAAATTTTGGTGTGACTAACAACAGCAAACCTTGGTTCAATAATATGTAAACCAATTACAAGAGCATCATGACAATAGAAAAATTAATAAAAAGGCAAATGCATGCTACATAGTAACCAAATACACTAATTTCCTTACTACAGCAACTAAACTCCACTATCTGGCAACCATTAGTCTAAAGATTAGAACAGAGAATGGGACTAATCATACAATACCATGGTACAAAAAAAAAACAATCTTGAAACTTTAACAATTATGTCTCAAGGTGAGAGTTCCAAATCCGAATAAAATACAGAACTAATGATCCAACAATATCTCTAAAAAGAAGTCAATTGATCTTGAATTTTTAAAATCCACGCAAATGAAATTAATATACCATTAATACAAAACAGAGGAGAATCGAGAAATCACCGTACTTCAGAAATCTACAAGTCAAAGCTGAAGGAATGAGGGGAAAAACGGATGAACAAAAGAACAGCTGAAACTCGACGAGCGGACCGTGGCTGCGTCTGCTCCGACGGATGTCGGTTACCGGATGCGGGAAAACTGAACAGCGGCAGATCTCGGCACGGTGAACAGGACGATGTAGTAGCGAGCGGGTCAGGGAGAATGTACTCGTCGGAACTTTGATGATGTTCGGCAGTTTTAGTCACCGGAAACAATAGTGTGAAGGATGATGGGATAGGAATTGTGGTGATGATGGTGAATTGTATTATGAAATTTTCTCCAAACTTTTCTTCTGGTATGAGAAGGATTTTGTCTTAGGAGAGAATTATCAGAAATATACAGAAAAGAGATGCGTACGATTTTGGGGTGATAAAGAGGAAAAATTCCAAATTAATGAGGCCATTAAATGGATTTATTTGCCATAATTGAGAGCCACTAATAGCTGATTTGAGGGAGGCTTAACGGCCATATGGAAAAGAAATGTAAGGCTGGTGAAATATTTACGTTATATGCATAGAATTTGTTTGAATGATCAATTCAAAATAAGACTTATATGACTAAACTATAAGTAACTCATATCAAGCACTAGATAAGATCGGTTTTTAGAGATTACTCAATGGCCGAAATTGAAAATCAAATGAGGTCAAAATATAAACTCAAGGTTCGGGTAGAAATGGCTCGGAAACGAATCGAAATGGATTAAAAATCGGTTTACGCGATTAAACCGAAAATCGCCGAATAATTTAAATTTCAATCAAATAAATCCTAAAAAAATTCTACTACATATAAATTATAAATAAACACATAATTATTCACATAATTAATGGCACATAGCATTTAAATAAATTAACAGATAAAAGAGACGAGCAAATAATATCATAACCGGCAAACACATAACGCAAAGGCAAATAATCAAAAATAAGCAAATAAATAATAATATAATATTCAGAAAACTCTAATAAACGAAGGGGGCGCTACATTCTTATAATATAATCTATTTCCTAATACCATTATATGAATCAAGAATGGAATGCACTAGTTACAGAAACCATTTTTATTGTTTAATTACTATTTAATTGAATTTAGCATAAACAGGGTTGTTATTACATCAGATAAACAATTAAAAGATTGCACCAACAATTAAAGCATGAAATGTCTATCCAGATTCAAATAGTACAATCATGGCATACAATTTTTTTTTTTTTTTTTTTTTTTTTTTTTTTTTTTTTTCATTTCAAGAAAGTTCCAAATAACTCACTCACACCTTCCTTCTCCCACCTTATAGCATGAAAGCTAAATCAATTTCTCAGAAGATTTAAGGCAGCACATAAACAAGAAAAACATGTTAGTGCTTTTCTCCACAATATTAATATATATTCACCAGATTCATTCTCAATCTCCCAAATCCATACAGCTAACTCGAATTGAAGCATATAAGATGCAGGTGTAAGCCACAACAATTAAGTTAAAATATTGGCACAATCACAAAACATAAACTCAACCATTTGAAGGCTCAAGAGATTCAGCTTTTTAACTTCTCACTAAAACTGAAACTTTAACACAGCAGAGCACAATAATTTCAGCCAAGAATGAGGTAAAAAGGTACAGCCAATATACCTCTCTAGATGATTTCACGGGTCGACAACCGCTCGTGCAAAAAGACAAACGTAGGACAACGACTCAACCCCACCAAAGTGGCTGCTGCTGCTCGGAGAAAAAGCGGACGGGGAGATGGCTGCTTGAAATTGACAACGAAACCCGTCGGAATGGGCTATCTCTGTTTTCTGCAAAGGAACTGATTTGCCGCTGATTCGAGGTCTCTGGTTGCTTGATAAAGCCTTGAACGGCTGCCACCATTCTCACACGAGACCTGAAAGGGCTGCCGCTGTTGTTTGGGCCGCTAAACAAAGGCCGAAGAAAGTGCCGCTGCTCGCTAATCAAACTCCCGGTTGCTGCTCAGGAACAGAAAACAAACGGTCTTGCAGACACGCGGCCGGTGGTTTACCATCATCCTGGTTCTCTTCTCCGGCGATAGAGAGGACTGAGATGAGTCCGGTGATGACGAGCAGAGACCGTCGATTTTTTTTTTTTTTTTTGTTGCTTCTTGAACCTCGACTGTTGTTGTCATTTCTCGCACGGCCCGACAGAGCTACTGCCAAAAGACGTGAACGGCTCGAGAAGAACCTCGCCGGTTGTTGTTACTGCTTGCTACCGCCGACGATGGTGGCTGAAACGGGTACGGCGGCGAAGGACTAACCAGACGGATGAAACCTGCTACTCAATCGCGGCGGGCTGAGAGTTTATTCCCGGCGAACGACGCCCGCGGGAAGGAAAGAACACGCCGGCGATGGAGGGGAATTTCTCGACGGGTTCTGCAATTTGAACAGGGGCTGAGAACTTCCCGGCCATGTTCTCATTCCAATAGAATTGACGATTCGAGATTTGATGAGCATGGCTGGATTTAACGGCGACTGCATCTTCTCTGGCAATGGTGCGATGCAACTGAAGTCAATTGAATAAGGAGGGTGATGGGATTTGAGGGGTGTCTGCGATCGTTTAAGCGGGAGAGAGATGATGAGCGGGTTGAGGGAAATAAAAGTTGCGGGTTGAGGGGTCTTCATGGTTTGATATACCTAGGCTAGGGTTTCCTTGAAAACTTACCATCCAAAAAAAATCATGGGCCGGGTTTGGGGCGTGGGTCATGACCGATTTCGACTACCGAATTCTCGGGCTCGATTAAATAAATAACGGTAATATTACATAATAATACACACAAATAATATATATATATATATATATATATATAT